GTTATAAAAAATATAAAACATATCTGAAAAAGTAATATATTTACCACATTAACTGATAAAAATTCAAATATGCCCATTGTTCTTCAAATTATATGTAAATTTAATCAATATGATTGGGATAATTTCATGTTAATAAAACGCAAATGAGAAAAGATTAACTGTAGTTATGAATGTACTGAACAAGGTGGTGAAGGAGGATGAAGTGATAGAAAACAGAGAAAGAGAGTACACAGTAACAGATAGTAAGATTTATGAAGATGTAATACCGGTAGATAGTCCTGACGAATGTATTTGAGTTCTGAAGTATTATACTTATAACCGTCCATGTTTTTGTTTTTCGCTTTGTATCTTTTCAACGGCATACAATGCTGCAGCATGTAATTTGCTAAATTACCATTCTCAAATGTTCACTAACATGCTGAACCTGTTCTTCCTTTTCGTTTTCTGACTCCAGATCTCTGCACATTTTGTTGTAGTATTTGGCTTTGTCTTCTAGAGCTGACCTTTGAAATTTTCTGTTCAGCTGTTGTACTTCCTCATTTATTACATTTGCTTTGGAATCTCTATGTTGGAGAGCAAGTTTCAGTGTCTCATCTGACATCCATTTTGTTCTTTTCTTTCTTTCTTGTCTTCTTAATGACTTTTTGCTTTCTTCACGTATGATGTTTTCGATGTCATCCCACAAGTCTTCTCAATATACATATTGAATAAATATGGTGAAAGAATACAAACTTGGCAAACACCTTTCCTAATTTTAAACCATTCGTTGTTTCCTTGTTCTGTTCCTTTGGTCAGTGTACAGATTCCTCATGAGCACAATTAAGTGTTCCAGAATACCCATCCTCCATAATATTTCGATATCTTGTCATGATTCACACAATCAAAAACATTTATTTACATAGTCAATAAAATCCAGGTAAACATCTTTCTGGTATTCTCTGATTTCAGCCAAGAATTATCTGGTGTCAACAATGAAATTCCTCACTCCATATCATCTTCTGAATCCCCTTGAACCACTGGAAGTTCTCTATCATTTTATAATTACCCATAGCAAAATTATCTTGCATGCACTATTAATGATCTTGTGTGATGATTTCTGTATTCTTTGGGTCACTGCTCTTTGGAATGGGCACAACTGTGGATCTCTTCTAGGCCATTTGTCAGGTAGATGTCTTCCAAGTTCTTGGCATAGAGAGTGAATGCTTCCAGTACTTCATCTGTTTGTTGAAAAATTTCACTTTTTATTCCATTATTTCCTGATGCCTTGTTCTTTGTCAGTGCTTTCAATGTATTTTGAACTTCTTCCTAATGCATCATTGGCTCTTGATCGTATGCTACCTCTTGAAATGTTTGAACATTGACCATAACATTTTGGTCCAGAAACTCTGTATATTCCTTCTATCTTCTTTTGATACATTTACTTTCTCTGTAGAATCCTTCAATATTACTATTGGAGGCTTGGATTTTTCTTCAGTTCTGTCAGCTTGAGAAATGCTGAATGTGTTCTTCCTTTTTGACTTTCTAACTCCAGGTCTTTGCACAGTTCATTATAATATTTGACTTGTGTTATCAAAATGCCCTTTAATTTTCTACTCAGCTCTCTTACCTCCTAGTTTCTTCAATTTGCTTTAG